AGTGCGAGAACAGCTAGGATATAGTGAGATGAATCAAGAGGGGGTTAGATATCTAGCAAGTCCCAACGAACGCTCTACCCACCATCGGATCACATGCACAATCATCAGATTTGAAACTCACTAGAGGCGAAAGCGCGCTTTGCCGTGCCGACTTCATTTATAGATTTTTTCTGTTGGCCTTTTACCATTTACCATGAGCCCGGTGTTGTTTATCGTTTTTTTTCCTTTTTGTCCCCTTTCACATGTGATTTTGGGGAAGAAGATCACTGCAACATGGGGGAGAAATGGATTGACAATAGATTCTCTCATGAATCGCTACTTGAATCTCCCGGTAAAACAGTCTGCACCGTCTCATTATTCCTCTCGAAAGACTAAATTGCACTTTGGAACATGCAATTGCGCAACATATGATTATGGGTTTGAATATGCAATGCAGAAGCAGACTCCCAAGTCGACAGTGGCTGTTATAGGTTAGAGCTGTAGTAGAGTTTCGTCGGTGCACGTCAGCTTGTTTGTGTGCATCCTCGTGTGCTATATGCTAATTGCATCAACGAATTGGCTGTTTTTCTAATAGAAAACAAGACAACGAATTGACTGTAAGCCCTCAGAGCCTTTGGGTGCGCACCGTGGCATGAAAATCCTTTGAATGAGTATGATCACAACTCACAACAAAGCACATACTGGATACAGTTGCTACTTGGCAAAAACGAAAGATGTATAAATATATCTTACTTAAAACTCGAAATGCTGTGTGCGAGGGATATTAACTCAAGTATACTCTATCTAGATTACCATCTTGAAATCTGTTCACTGAACTCTCAATATGTAAAACTACTTCCTTTTCCTTGGTGCTGATGCACGCAACACAACCATTAGGGACATGGATCCTCTGACGTGGCTATCACTGCCTTACCCTGCCTTTCCGTCACTGACAGATGGGACTGATGCTTAGTGGGACCCACATGTCAGTGACCCAATGGTAGAATAGCCCACGTCGGGGGATACTAATCCAACCATTAGGGGGATCTAAGCAGCAGTAACTTGCAATGAGCTTAGGGTGGCCGTCGAATCACAAACTCCTGTCAATTCTTGGTACTAAATACATACATACAGGAAAAAAACATCCAGGAGAGGTATTAACATCTACTTGCTTTCAGAAGTTCCAAAGCCAAAAGTTTATGCAAAATCCCAATTAAAGGCCACGTTTTTCCTGCTTGGTTCAAGTACTAAATCCATGGGTAAGCCATTACACAACTTAATTGGGCATTGCACTTTATTCATTCGTGGACAATACGGTATACTTTAACAAAATAGCCTAATGCATAACAAGAAAAAGGAGAAAAGGTACACGGGTTAGGCCATTAAAAATCAGAGAGAAACCAATCACAGGATAGCCAAACAAAAACACATATGGGGATCAAAAATAGAATCGACATTAAGAAAGAGGCTAGAAAAATCGCAATCCTCAGCATCTCCTCCCCAGAACAGAGCTGCCGTCGCCTCCCAGGAACGGACCAGCCATCGCTCACCCTTGGTGCCAGTGCACGCCATACATGAGCCACCGTCGCTCGCTCTCCTTCCGCCGCATACTTTGTCAGGTTCAACAGCCATTCTTCAGTTAAGTTCGACACTTGTTCTGTTCTTCAATTATGTTCAGTAGAGCATCGGGCTACATATATGCCTGAGCTTCCTTCTTGCCCTTTTCGATTGCAATCGTAAGGCTATACTGTAATTTCCTTTTGATAAAATTCAAAAAAAATCCTTTTGAGATATTTACTTAGTAAATGGGCTCATTTGCTGTAATCAAGATTAAGAAACTAATCTCGTGGCTTGGGCTGTGTTATAAAACCTGAGGGGTGGAAGGGAGGAAGAAGTAATGAAAAACTTAACATTTATTTTGCTATTTTATCTTTGATGTTCCTGTTCGCCTTGCTACTTATTTATATATTCAGTAAACTGTCGATTTAGCCCAGTTTTTGCCGCTGTTGTTGTTAGTTCTCCTCTGAACCATCCCTCTGAGTCAGCTACCTACGCTCGGGAGTCCTGTTTGCAACAAATGAATATGCCATGTCTGATTCAACAAAGAGATATTAAAAAGCAAAAACAAAAATAGCTGAATGAGCAAATAACATCTAACCAGGCTATTGTTCTGCTGAGCGATTCCTGCACGGCCACCATGGGAGTCACGATACTTCGGCAGTCAGCAACCAAATATGTGAGAAGAGAATAGCTTCTGCACACAGAGAGAAGGCAGCTGCGGCAGCTCCCCTGCAACGCACACGCGCTTGAGAGAGAAGAGAAGGCAGCGCGGGTGCACGCACGACAAAGGGCAGCGGCAGAGTACGTGCGCCTTCGGATAGGAAGAGGAGAGACATGACAGCGCCCAAGCAGAGAACAAGCATCACATTGTGCTTACTGTCGCCCGCACCAGGGAAATATATGGAAGCTTCACGCGTGCTGTCGCCCCCCTTTTCTGTTTCGTTCCGGAGGAAGTAGAAGAAACCAGCGACGCGCCGATTCGATAGAAAAGAAGGAATAGTGTGCATTTTTCGTTGGGGATTTCCTGAAATAAAACGTTGCGTCTTCCCTCGATTCCTTATGCGGGATATCTAATCAATTAGAATTCAGGTTAAAGAGGGTCTTTATCCTCGTCGTATTATTTATATGGAAATCCGGGGCTAGGGGATCATTCCCTTGACTCGTACTAATGATAAATTTTTTACTCCACGAGAAATTGAACAAAAAGCTGCCGAATTGGCCTATTTGTTGCGCGTACCAATTGAAGTATTTTGAGGTATCTTTTTGAACTGAGTTGAATGAAGAAAAGAAGAATTGGAAGAAGAAAAGTTTTCTCAACACACGTTGGCCAGAAGAACCCAGAGATCGCCACGCGTTATTCTCAAATGGGGCGGCCTGCAGTCCACACGCTTACAACGTTGGTCAACCCGCTTTAACAGCCTCAACACAGGAGAGAGCCCCATTTGACGGGAGCTTAGTAACTGTAAAGATGTATGGATGCATACACATTAGATTATCGGTATATCTAACTAGCGAACGTTCACTGGAAGGGACCTCCCAGCAAACGACCTTAAAGCTGTTGGATCGTGATCAAACGCTCGGCGTTAAAAAAAAATTACACTGCGTCGCTGGCATTTCCCCCCTAAACATGGCAATTTTAACCTTTTCACATGGCAAGTCCCTAAAAAATGCATGGCAATTTAGTTATTTGGCATGGCAACTTGGGCGTTCGCTGGCACCCAGCTAATGTTCACCGGATAAACGGGTCCTAGATTATTGCATATTTCTCACTTGGTGTGGACAATTGCTTTGTTTGTTTATGTTGGTCAAAAATTAAGAATTCATCTTTATGGTGACGCAAAATTAAAATCCAAATGTTTATCCAGATGATGTAGTGCAGCATGTTGGTATTTTCTGTTGTTGATGTAGGATGTTTAATTAAGCATAGCATCTAATACTCCATCGATCCAAATTAACTGAAGTACCTTTAGTACATCTTTAGTAAAAAGTTGTACTAAAGCTGCGTCAATTAATTTGGATCGAAGGGAGTATGTAATTAGCGACTGAATGCTTCCAGAGAAAAGGCTATCCTCCATCAATATACGATAGACTGATTAAATAGATAGTTCAGATATATTTTGTTTATTTTTCTCTAGGATCAACATAGGAGCTTGAAAGGAGGGTCGATACTGAATTTACGAATGCAGCAGACTTGAGAACCATCAACAACAGCATAATTTGGCCCCGCAAATGATCACCAAGACATGAAAATGAATAGATAACAAATAGATAAAATATTGCATTGAAAGCTCGGGCTTGAAGTACAGAAGATAAATACAGACTTGGTCTACTGATGAATAGTACAACCTAAGCATCAACCAAGTGCATTCGCAGTCAAGTGTATTTCTTCAACCTATTTATTTAGGATGGTTTTTCACCTACTATGCAAGTAGCAAGGGGTTGTTGTTAAGTAAACACGACGCCAATTAACACTGTACTGTTAAGTCATATGTGATCTTAACGTTCGAGTAGAAAATCACATGGAAAACTCAAACTGAATCGGAATTGATCAGTGTATTATAATCTACCATGACAATGCACATCTGCAGTTTCCGTGTGAGTTGAATAACAGAACTTCGGATTACCCAAGTGAATAGAGAAGACCGATCAAGA